GATCCCAGTATTAGGAAAGGCATGTAAAAATTTTCGCGTATTGCTCTTATTAGGCTGTGTAAATGCTCCAAGTAGCTGACCCCGTATGTGTAAGCACTTGTATCTTTGGCGTATGGTTGTGAGGTTCATGACCGTGACAATGTGAGCCGTGTGAGTAAACAGTCCGTCACATGTGAGTTCGCACTACTCAAGTATTTTTGCAACCGTTAAGAGAAGACTAGAGCAGTCGGCGCTGCACGAAAAAAGAGAATGCACGCAGAGCGCATGTTACTACAAGCTCGGAGTTGTATGGGTAGTCGGAATATAATAATGGTATGGCCGTGGAGGCACATGAATAATATCAGGAGATATATAAAATTTAAAAAATATTTTAAAAAATATTAAAGCTGTAACTTAGCTTGATCAGCAATCGAGTGGAGTAGTCGGCACATCTTAGAGGCCTAGTCAGACCGTGTTGGCCGCGCAAGGGCCGGAGCCCACGGTCGTGTGGAGTCGTGACTTGGCCTGATTAGTCGGCGTAGTATCCGAGGAGATAGATGTGCTGCAGAGCACGCTTGCACGCTAGCCCAATCAATATGGTAGTCGGCTTGCATGTTGATGGAGTGATGAGCTCACGGCCGGGTAGACATGCCAGCCTTCTTCTCCCGTATACGTACATGCTTAATTTGCTAGTTGATGTTGACATCTAGCATATCCATGTTTGATGTCGACTCGAACATGTCCGTCAGCCGGGACTCCGTAGTCCGTACGTGAAGCCCCCGTTGGGAAGGGTAGCAGTGCTGTTGGCGATTTCGGTTTGAGGCACGTTGGTGCTTGCTTCGATCTCTAATCTTCCAGTGCATCAGCCTGTTCGGTTGGCTGATTCGTTTCGTTGCTGGTTTATGAAGAAGTACCGCTGGCTGGTTTGTGTGAGAAAAAAATACTATTCCAACTAAAAATTTATGATCGTTTACGACAAGCCACAACCAAACGAACAAGCTAATACCGATGGCTGTAGCAGGGCTAGCCGTACCGATAGCTGTAGCAGGGCTAGCCGTCCTCCGTGCTACGGAGGCCACGGAAGCTCCCGGCGTGATGGATAAAGAAATCCTTGACGAACACGTCTCCTCCGTGCGGTGCGTGCAGATGCGTGAAGGGGTCGGAGTCGGCACTCGGACTCGGCGGGAAGGAGTCAGAGTGGGTACTCGATCACAGAACTCGTCGATGATTATGGTGCTGTAGTTGATGTCGGGTCTCTTATTTGTTTGCTTGCTCATGATCGTCTTCGCATAAGCATGCACGTGTATGCTTGTCGTAGCGCTGTGTATGTGTGTACGTCGCCAATAGCTTGCTTCCTTGCATTGTCATAGATGGCGTTGATCTCGTGTTGGAGCCCGGCCGTGACTTGAAACGTCTGCTTGCATGTTGCTGGCTCGTGGAGGAGTAGGACTTGTTGGCTTGTGTCCGGGTTGGACTCGAATCAGCATAGGGCCGAGTTGCCTTGAAGCTGCCAACGGATCGTATGTGACTCGGACTGTTCACGACAGAATCGAGTCGTGCCGCCGAACGTGGAGACACGGTGCCGCTCGGCTCCGCGCTTCTCTACTAGTTACCACGAATTGCTCTTTGACGTTGAACTCCATGCTCTCACGAACGAGCTAGAGGCTTGACGACTTTGATTCGTGTGCACTAACAAGCCTGACAACGTGACGGACTCCTTTTCCTCAAGTCGCGTGCACAACAGTATAGCGGCAGATGGATCTCCAGCAAACGAAGAGCAGCGACCGCAGGATGACATCGAGGGATGCCGTCTCAATACGTCGTAGATGTTGGTCTTTAGGTCCGCCGAGCTCTCAAACGCAATTACATCGAAAATCTCTACCTGGTGCGTTAGCTATCGGTGTTTGATGACCAACAACTCGTCACGGGGTTACCCGGGACGATGGTTGGTGGGCTTCGGCGTATGCAGAACTCGACGGTGAACGCAGAGACAACAATTTATACTGGTTCGGTCCACCGGAATAGCGTCCTAGTCCAGTCTGGGGTGAATAGTATATTGCGCCCTGCGCTTGGGATTTAGACCGTGAGGTATGTTCCTCTTTTCGATTTAGGAGCCTTGCCCTCTTTTATATAGCCTAGGAGACAAGTCTCCTAGTCAGTTACGATGTAAGAGTCATAGCAGGATTACAGTATAGCAATGTTACTAGGATAATATGTGGGGAATATTAGTCGGACTAGATCTTCTTCCTTCCTTGCGGGGTACCCCTGGGGCCCTTGTCGGTGTTTCAAGTTACCAACAATGAGTAAATTTCTAGTATTGCGCGTCTGGCTCAGATTGCGTGCTTAGATGACACGAGGTTTATACTGGTTCGGACAGAATATCCCTACATCCAGTTCATCGCTGCTGCTCGTGTTACTAGTACTAAAAGTTTGCAGTAGGGGTTATAAACGGGCGAGAGAGGGACATGTCCTAAGTCTCTGATGGAAGGAATGAACGGGTGCCGAGAGCTCGGTTGCTGCTCAGCCGTGTGCTTGTGTTGCGTTCTGATTGGTTCGAGGTTCGATGAGTTCGTGATGGTTCGATCGGGTCTGGCCTGAATCGATTCGACTCAAGCCCCCTTCATGGGACGCCATGCTTTCCCTTTTATAGGTCAAGGGAAAGCACAGGTTACAGCGGAGGAAAGGAGAAGAACGAGAGGGAGGGAGGAAGTCCTTCAGGATCGCCGGGTCCTTCTTATCCTTCATGCGGTTCCCGCCGACCCTGTAGATGTCAACAGGGATGGTTCCATGTCGTGGCCCTGTCCATCACTGGTGCCATGCGCAGTGCGTCGTCTGCCAGTCATGGCACTCCACTCCGTCCTGGCGGACGTCGTGGTGAACTAACGCGCCTGTCAGTGTTCGCACGAGGGTTAGGCAGAACAGCACCGGTACACCCGACGCTGTCCCCGATGTGAATCCCTAGGTATGGCTCGTCATGGCTACGGGTCACACCGGGGCATGCCGGTCACTTCCTTGATGTCAGAGTTTTAACTTAGGCCCGTACGCTTGGATCTGGAGTGGTTGGCAGCGGTATGAGACCCCATCGGGCGAGACGGAGCCTGCACCCGAGGGGTCAGGCGAGGCGGAGCCTGCCCCCAAAGATCGGTCGAGGCGGAGCCCGCGGCCTTAGGGTCGGGCGAGGCAGAGCCTGCCCCCAGAGGTCGGTCGAGGCAGAGCCCGCGGCCTCAAGGTCGGGTGAGGCGGAGCCCGCGACCTTGGGGTCAGTCGAGGCAGAGCCGGCTCCCAGAGGTCGGGCGAGGCGGAAACCGCGGCCTCAGGGTCGGGCGAGGCGGAGCCTGCCCCCAGAGGTCGGGCGAGGCGGAGACCGCGGCCTCGAGGTCGGGCGAAGCGGAGCATGCGACCTCGGGGTCGGGCGAGGCGGAGCCGGCCCCCAGAGGTCGGGCCGTGATCTTGGGGTCGAGCGAGGCGGAGCCTGGCCCCGGAGGTCGGGTGAGGCGGATACCGCGGCCTCAGAGTCGGGCGAGGCGGAGCCCGCCCCCAGAGGTCGGGCGAGACGGAGCCCGCAACCTTGGGGTTGGGCGAGGCAGAGCCCGCGGACTCGGTGTCGGGCGAGACGGAGCCCGCCCCCAGAGGTTGGTCGAGGCGGAGCCCGCGCACCTGGGACCCGGTTGGAGCCGTAGTCACGCTCTTAACTGCTCGGATAAATTAATGTTGATGACCGTTAGCCCCTCCTCTTCGGTTATCTAGTATTGGTCCCCGACAGCCCTGCACCTATAAAACCCTACCCTTATAAGGATCTCCTAAGAATGTATAATATTTCACGTATATACGCATAATATACTAGTGTTTATTATAAACTTTAGGTATGGCAGCCGCCAAACATCGCTGCCTCCGCCCCATTGCTAAGCTACGTAGAGAGAGAGAGACACCACACAAATGCGTGTTTGAATGCACGCACGGAGCAGCTAAAAGCCACACCCACATGCTTGCGTTTTGAAGTTGCGAGCGGTAGGCTGATCGGGCCGAGTGCGAGCCAACCCTTGCACGGGGCGAGTGACATGACGCTAAGGTGTGGCATGGAAGCGGCTGGAAGAAGACGAAGCGTGGGGTAGAGGTCCGCGGCGCGCCGAAGCGGCGCCGCGGCATCCGTGGAACCATCCGGGTCCGGGCACAACAGCAGGGTAAGCACGTTCCGACTTCCGACCGCTCCCATGCTCCATCTCTCGGTGCTGCATCTCTTGGCGGGGTGCAGGAGGAATCGAAATGGTCAGCGGATTCGTAGCGTTTGCTGCGGTATACTGTATTAATCCCCGATTAGAGCCTGGGGCTAGTTATTACAACGTGCTGCGTTGACCCATTACCTAGGTTAGTGCTTGTTTGGGCTTCCGGTTCCGGGCAAGTGCAGCTGCAATTAAGAAACTATCCCCAAGGACCTTTTCAGTAAACTCAGTAGGGCGTAATTTGACTCGGTATGTTAAAGAAATGCCACTATCCCAAAGGACCTTTTCAGTAAATTCAGTAGGGCGTAATTTGACTCGGTATGTTAAAGAAATGCCGGCCTCTTGTTAGATCCAGTCAAATGCAGAGTATATAGCTGGATTAAAGGCGGTCTCCTATTGCTAGTTCTGTACTTTTGTTGCTAGTTTTATTTCTTCGATGCGTCGAATCAGTCATTTTTTCCCGGAGACTTAGCTGAAATGTCAATGTACGGTACCCCGTACAAGTTCCAGTTCGTTAGAAACAGCCATATGGTGAAATGGAGGAGCAGCAACGGAACCACAGCGTTTGTTTGGCCCAGTCATTCAGAGATGACGAATTCATCACCTAACGTGCATAGAAATTTAGAGAGTTAACAGACTTAAGGGCCCAACTTGATGTTCGGCAGGCCGTAAACGATCGTGGATTATTTACTGTTGGCTGATTTGGTGTGAGAGAAAAATACTATTCCAGCTTATAATCCACGATCGTATACGAGTAAACGAACAGGCTGTATGGGCCACCATAGGAAGCTCTCTGATGAGATGCTGTCCATGCATCTGCTGCTGTTCTTCAGCTTTGCCTTTCTGTTGCAGCCTGTGGTCAGAGGTGCTTCATCTTCGCCCCGCCATGATTGCCCGAACAAGTGTGGCGACGTCAACATTGAGTATCCATTTGGGATTGGCCCTGGCTGTGCATTGGAAAAGGGATTTGAGCTTCACTGCAACAAGTCTCAGGATGGCCAAAGGAACATTACCTACTTCTCTAACCTGCCGGTGGCCAACATATTACTGCTCGAAGGTCAGGTTCAGGTGATGAGTTCTATTGCTTCCATGTGCCCCAACCGCTCAACCACGTACCTCTTGAACCTTTCTGGCACGCCGTTCACGGTAGCAGACAAGGAGAACATGTTCACAGTCTTAGGAGTCGACGCGCTTGGCTTTATGGCTGGTTCAAGGCAATCTGCCATCGTAAGGGCCCGAGAGCGAGAGGAGCCTCTCCGTGAGCTTTCTGTGTGCGCTGAAGGAGGGGAGGCTGCTGGACGTGATAGATGACCGCATCAAGGGTGAAGAGAACGTTGGGCTGCTGGAGGAGGTCGCTGACGTCGCGAAGCAGTGCCTGGAGATGGGTGGCGAGAACCGACCAGCCATGAGAGACGTCGCTCAGAGGCTCGGCAGGTTGAGTAGAGTGACACAGCACCCGTGGATGCAGCGTGACCCCGAGGAGATGGAGAGCTTGCTCGCTGTCAGAGAGCCATCGGTGGACGGCATGGAGATGGTGAACGCTACGTTTTTTACCATGGAGAGGAGCGTTGGTCGTGGCTTACTGGAGTTTGGTCGTTAGAGACACCTGCCCGTCATGTTTTGTGGATCATCTTGCGTGTACCCATGTACTCCGTATGTACTATGATTCCATTGCTCTGGGAGATCTGACCTATTGTTTGCTTGGTCATCTCTGATAGAGGTTGCTGTTACTCGACTGTTCATTGTCTCTTTTGTTACTCCTGAGGTATTATGCATTTATGCCTCCCTTGTCCATTCTCTCTTGTTCAAAGGAATATTATATACTAATGCGTAGTGAAGGGAATCAACCCTTTGGTGACGACGGGCGGAAATTAGAATTGGATACAGATATAGAGTGAAATCGATTGTCTCCATAAGAGCATTTCCAAGAGTTCTCTTATCCTCTTATTATCTCCACGAATTCTCTTATCCAACCTTTTGAAGTCAAAATTAAGATTTATGAAGAAAAAAAATCACCTCTAACAGTCCCCTTATCTAATATCCTATATTCTCATCTTTGGAACATTTTCTCATACTAACCAATAACTACGACTTTATTCTGCATAAAGATATGCTTTGTCAACCTTTTACTTTCAGTGATAAAAAACTTTGAGAAAAAGGTCATTTCCCCTTGGTTTGGTTTAGGGTTGATTTTACAAATAAAGCCAGACAGCCTTATGTGGCATACCAACAGAATGCAAAACTTGGTGGCCTTGGTCACAACTCACAACCCAGTGACTAAAAACTATTTCTAGCAACACAACAGACAGCACATGCCCTTCTAGCCCAGCCAACCTAAATTGCCAACCTAAATGGGCACTACTTCAACATCAAAACTGCACAGAGCCTAAACAGAGAGTACTATGTTCTCCGTATCTGCACTCAGAATCTCCAGATGAGCCAAGCAAATCGCTTCGGTGGTCCGGTGGCCCCTTCTCGTTCTCCAAGAGGTCAGCCTCTCATCCAGCTCACCTCACTTGTCACTTATCTTCTCCCCAACGGATGCAAGTGTACTAGCCACAAAATCAAGGTGTTCTTGTCACTTATCTTCTCCCCAACGGATGCAAGTGGACTAGCCACAAAATCAAGGGGTTGTTGGATCCGAGGACTAAACCCTGTCACATGGAACGTTTGCATACTAATTAAGAGGACTAAATATAAGCTAATTATAGAAAACTAATTGTATAGATGGAGACTAATTTGCGAGGCGAATCTATTAAGCCTAATTAAGCCATCATTAGCATATGTTACTGTAGCACCGCGTTATCAAATTAAGGCTTGATTAGGCTTAATAGATTCGTCTCGCAAATTAGTATCAATATATACAATTAGTTTTATAATTAATCTATGCTAAATTAGTGTTAAATATCCGATGTGACAGGGATTAAAGTTTAGTTTCGGAACCAAACACTTACACTTACACTATGAGTAGACAGCAGCGCTGCCAGATCGGTTATTATATATACATATTAGTTACCTGAGGCAATTCAGAACCAGTTGCTCAATCAAAAGCCCAGATTCCATGAGTCCCCAGCGCACCATGCAACACGCCAGCTACAAGGCCCTCCATCTCCGTCACCTCGTATTACGGGTCCCCAAGTAACTTTTACCGTTTAGCAGATCACGGCATCACACCATTCGTAAAAGAACCCCATTATTTTCCTAACCATGCGAGGAAGAGTTCAAAACAACCGGTAGCCGGCTTGAAAATTGAGCGACCTCGATCTACCCCAACCATCCAACGGATGTGCATAAGTGTATTGAGGTGGATAAACAAGTCCGAAGTGGGAAATCTAGCCTAGAGCCGAGTTCGTCCTCGTGATCACTTTCATTGGCAAACCGCCTTCCATCCGCAGCGTGAGCGAGAGCACGAGCCCCGGCCGCTCCTCGCCGCCGACAAACTGGAAGCTGAACCTCTCCAGCACGCACGCCACGATAGATTTCATCTGGATGTACGCCATCTCCTTGCCGAGGCACATCCTTGGCCCGGCGTGAAAGACCGGATACTTGAACGGGCTCTCCGGACGGAACGCGCCGTCCTCGCCGATCCACCGCTCCGGCCTGAACTCCTCGCAGTCCGCGCCCCAAATGTCCTCCACCCGACCCATCGCGAACGCGGAGTAGGTCGTCAGCCACCCTTTCCCGACGAACGTGCCGTCGGGCAGGAAGTCGTCCTCCTTGCAGCTGTGCGTGTCCATGGCCACCGGCGGGTACAGCCGCATGGACTCGGTGATGGCCGCGTGGAGGTACTGCATGTCCCGCAGCTCGTCGAAGCTGAACGCCGCCGCGGCCGCATTTTCCTGCCTGCTGGACGCGCGCCGCACCGCGCGGACCTCGCGCACGATCTTCTCTTCCACGTCAGGCCGTGTGGAGACCAGCCAGAAGAACCACGTGAGCGCCGACGACGTCGTGTCGCGCCCGGCGAGGAGGAAGTTGGTGACCACGTCCCGGAGGGTCTCGTCGCTGTGCTCGCCGGTCGCGGCAAAGCGCGACAGGAAGTCGTTGTCCCTGCGGCACGCTGCTAGCCCAGCCGCCTCGCCCCTCGCCCGGCGCTCGCGGATGATCCTATCGGCGTAGCCGTGGACGGTGCCGACCGCCTCGCCCATCCGCCGCTCGGGCTCCATGTTCAGAAACTTCTTGAGGCGCCACAGCGACTTCACCGGCGACATGAACCGGGCCATGGTGGCGCTCTGCGCGTCGTTGAAGGCGCGCATGAACTCGGCGCTCTCCGGCGCCGCTATGCCCTCCTCGGCGAGGCACGCCGGGTCCTCGCCGAACGCCACGCGGCAGATGTTGTCGAGCGCGAACCGCTCCAGCACGTCCTGCACGTCCAGCGTCCGGCCGTCGCGCCGCGCCCCGTCGAGCAGCGGCAGCAGCCGCTCGACGACCTCGAACCGGACGGCGTCGACGACGAAGTTCCGGAGCGAGCGCTTGCTGAACTCGTAGCTGGCGGCCTTGCGCTGCCACAGCCACTGCTCCCCGTCGGAGTTGAAGATGCCGTGCCCGAGGAAGTCCTCGATCATGGACACCGTCAGCTCGCCCTTGGGGTAGTTGGCGAAGTTGGTCTTGAGGATGTGCTCGACGTTGGCCGGGTTGGCCGTGATGGCGCCGCCGGTGAGGCCGAGCGCCTTGAACGACAGGGTGTGCGAGGGGTCGCGCTTGAGCACGTCGGTGGACCAGTCGAGGAAGCGGCGCTGGTTCTTGACGAAGTGCGGGACGGTACCGACGAGCGGGTAGACCTTGAGGCCATGAGCGCGAGGCTGCTTCTTGGGGTCCTGGCGGCGCAGGTAGAGTAAGCAGAGGAGAGGGAGCAGGGGAAGGAGCACGACGAACTGGAGCACAGGGGATGAGGTCAGGGAGAGTTCCATGTCGATACGGGTTTGCGAATTGCGGGTGGTGCCGATCAGCTGACGATTTCTCGTTTTGTACTGGCCCGTGGGTTCGAGTGGCTCGGCTGACTGATGCGTCCGGCTCTAGGTGTACCACTCGTACAAATATCCTGGCACATTCCAGTACTCCGTACAGTACCTATACGAGTGCAGCACTCAAACCTTTTTTTCATTCTGTTATAACAAAACCTCCTTTCATATTATTTGTTTTCTCTTATAAGTTATAATACTCTCTCCATTTCAAATTATAATGAGTTTTGACTTTTTTATATCCATAGCCTTAGAATTGTCAAAATGTCTTATATTTGGACATAGAAAGTAATATACTAATCACCTTGTTCTTCAGCAGTAATTTTCAGCGAACGAATAGTGTTTTCCTCTCATAGCAAATCAGCATGATATCACAAAAGTAGATTTCAAGAATATAGTTGTGATATCTAATAAACATGGTATCACGAAAGTAGATTTCAAGACAAATCTATACATAATATGAACTTTTTGAAAAAAGAAACTATTTTTTTGTCAAAGTTTTCAAAGTTCAATAGGAATTTTGTCAAAGTGCAAGTGTTTCCTGCCAAAGGGAATATGGAATTTCTAGTTGTATGGTTGGAAACGGTATTTTTTCCTTGTCGTTGAATTGTCTCATGCGCAACTAGAATTTCATACTAGAGAAGCTGCATACCATGAATTTTCTAATTTTCATTGAGGGAGTGGAATTTTTCATTCCAGATAGATTCATCAGATAGAACCGAATGAGATGGAAAACATTTTGCTCCTTGCAGGTTTTTTTTTTTAAATGTTGCACGTTAGCCTGGTTCTCTTGTTTGTATGGCGAGGAGTCAACTGAATTATCGATTTTGGCCCAGAAATCTCTCGGGTGTCCTAACCCAAGCTCGGTCTGGCAGGAAACATGGCCTGTAACCATATAAGAGCGGCGATCAGGCCGCGGCGCACGGCGCAGCAGGACTCGGCGGCTCTGCCCTCGAGGCGCGATGGTCGCGGAGAGCCGGAGAGGTCGAAGCCAGGTTAGCAGAGGGCTTGAGATGCTGCAGGGGTTCAGCTCGACGTGCGGAAGCGACGGCTAGACGAACGCCGGCCGCCATGGCCAGTGCAACGCGCGGCGACGGGTAGCGCGAGGTTAGCCTGGTTCTACTTACTCCAGTACTCCCAATCCCTCCAATCTTCTGGTATTGCCTTTCTCTGTCCCCAAATCTGAGTCCACATAATGTGTTGAGTTATGCGTTTTTTTTTTTTGAACATGAAGAGCTCTCCATTACTCATAGACTGACGCCAAATCTTTGGCAACCAGTGACCGAATACAAGCTGGAATACTGTCCTGAATCGGAGTTTGGGGGAAAACAGCGGGTTGGCTTAGTCCCGTTGCGATCCACATCCTGCGTTCAAATAATGTCCGATGACCTCAGCATTTTAAGGCTTGGCCAAACCAATCCACGTTCCGCGTTGACTTTAGTTTGGCGTGACATCTGTAACTATCGACCTCTGCACCTCGTAGTTTTGGTAGACTCCTATTTGAGTGAGGGCAAGTTGAGGGTATCTCTTGTGCAGCTGTGCGTTGAATTTTGCCGAGTTGTGGAGCTAGTTGAGGCCTTGAGGGAATCTCTTGTCAGGTTCAAATAAATTTGTGACAAGTGAGTGAGTGAAATGGAATACTTTTGCTGCTGGCCACGCAAGTTTGACGCCGTGTTTAGTTCCACGAATTTGGAATTTGGGACTACTGTAGCACGTTCGTTTTTATTTGGCAATTAGTGTTCAAACATGGATTAATTATGCTCAAAACGTTCGTCTCGTAATTTCCCACTTAACTGTGCAATTAGTTTTTTTTTCGTCTACATTTAATGCTCCATGCATAGGCCGTAAACATTCGATGTGACAGATACTGTAACACTTTTTGAGATTTTGGGGAGGAACTGAACACGCGATGAATTGTACAATGGAGTAGAAGATGTTTGTGGAAAGTCAACTACACTGTACCTGCAGTAACTCATTGACTTGACCAAAGATAGCAGACTGCAAGTTTAGCATCCAGCTGTTTGATTCTCCAAAATTTTGTCCTGAGATGCAAGTTGAAACCAAAAGATTACTGTATTCAAAGGGTTTAAAACCGTAGCATTGACAGACTAATGTAAACGATGGACTAGTATATAGAGAGAGACTGTTAACGTTATCATGTGTGCTCATGAATCAAAACAGATACCGTAACACACCAAAGCACACTATGAACAACTATTACTACTACAAGAACCCCATTGATATATAGTGCCTATGCTTCTGCTGCTACTTTTCAGCCTCACAGTCACGCTGCAATTGGCTTTGCTTTGGATTTTCCTAAGTGGGCAATCAAAGCAATTGATAAGATAAGATAAGATGGGCTTTTTTATGGAAAGGTCGCAAGGAGGTGAATGGTGGCCATTCCCTAGCACGTGTTTATGCTTGTCGAACGTGATTTCTGGGTGTGTATCACTAATCACAGAGCTCACCCTACAACAACCTCAAGGCATAAGATGGGAACACTACCGGACATAGCATCTTTGCCGAGGGCCTGAGGATTTGTCGAGGATAAATGCTCGAGCACTTGGCAAAGAATCTTTGCCGAGGGCCTGACCCTCGGCAAAGAACAGCCCTCGCCAAAGACTCTTTGCCGAGGGCCAGTCCCTCGGCAAATACAAGCACACAGCAAAAATAATTCAGGTCCGGCCCTCGGCAACACCGTCTGACACGACGTCCATCCCCTGCCGTCAATATTTGCCGAGGGCATCACCGTTAGGCCCTCGGCAAAGACTTTTTAACCGTTTTTGAAAATTTTCTTTTAAAAAATTCTTTGCCGAGTGCCCCTGGCCCAGCACTCGGCAAAGACAGTCTTTGCCGAGTGCCAAGTTGGCACTCGGCAAATTTTCAATTTTTTTTTGTTTTTTTGACCCCAAATTTTTTTGTTGGGTCCGCCTACATTGTTTACAACTTCATGTTCAAATTTGGTGCTTTTTCTAGTTTTTTTGTTATATTTGTTGATTAATTTGATTATGTTGAATTTTTATATATAATTCAAATTTGAACTGCAAATGCATGAAATATTGTAATCTAGTGCTTCGAAAAATATTATTCATGGTATTTGGTGTATGTTGAGTCTCTATCCACGAACTCGCATCAAATTTCGCGCATCTTCTTCACGTAACATGACGAGCCACTTGTCGGAAAAGTGTTTTAAAATTATATAAAGTCCATACGAAGTCCGAAAATCACGAAACTTGTCGAGGTGTCATGTTATCGCATGTGTAGGCTGTGGTAAAAATTTAAGAATGTTTCGAGCAAGTTGCGATGTCAGATGCATAAAACCCAGACATCTCCACATGATGTCTCCAGATGCATAAAACATCAGATGTCTGGGCCTATTGGTGGAAACATGCTCCGGTCAACCTCGTAGTCCGAGCCCTGATCTCCACCTCTCATTTTATAGTGCTGTGCGACAGGGACCCACTAACCATATTAGGGTTGGGCGCCACCGATCAGGGCGCAGATCCAAGGGCCCAATAGGCCATTGGGCCTATTGGTGGAGATCAACTAACATTCTCCCCCTTGATCTCACTACCATCTTTCAATTTCATATCATTTACTTTTGTTCATTCCATTACAGATTAGCGCATAGAGCATGTTTCATCGTCACGGTCAATTGCCGATAGATTTAACAGCTACAACACACCACTCTATTCTGAAATAGATACTTAACTTTGGGCCTTCTTTTATTCAAAAATTTTAGACTTTCCCTTAAACCCACGCTAGTTACATGTTCTCTGAACACGTTGGGTGATAAGCCTTTTATAAGCGGATCCGCGAGCATCTTTTCGGTACTTATATGCTCAAGACTTATGACATGATCCCGGACTTTATCTTTCACAACATAATACTTTATGTCAATGTGTTTGGCAGCAGCACTTGACTTATTGTTATGAGCATACTGTACTGCCGGATTATTATCGCAGTATAACTTAAGTGGTCTATAGATGTCGTCAACCACCTTCAATCTGGGTATGAACTTCTTTAGCCAGTTCACCTGCCCCGTTGCCTCATAACACGCTACAAACTCGGCATATATTATGGACGATGTAGTGACGATTTGCTTTGAACTATTCCATGAAATAGCTTCCCCTGCGAGAGTGAATACATATCTAGACGTGGATTTTCTATCATCTCCCGCATAGTCAAAATCAGAATATCCCACTATATGGAGTAAATATGATATTATATACGTCATCATGAGGCTTTTCGTTCCTTGCAAATAACGCAAGACTTTCTTTATCATTTTCTAGTGTTCTGTTCCAGGATTGCTCTGGAATCTACCAAGTAACCCGGTAACAAATGCCAAGTCAGGGCGCATACATACTTAAGCATATTGCAAGCTTCCGACAGCTGAAGCATATGGAACCGTTTTTATTTGATCGATCTCATACTGATTCCTGGGGCATTGAAAATCCCCATATATGTCGCCCTTGACTATAGGAGCAGGTGAGGGACTACATTTGTGCATACTGAATTTCTTTGAGATCTTTTCTATGTATGTCTTTTGTGACAGTCCTAATATCCCTTTACTTCTATCTCGGTGAATCTTGATCCCTAGAACGAATGAAGCTTCACCAAGATCTTTCATATCAAATTTTGAGGACAAAAACTTCTTTGTCTCCAGTAGTAGACTGACATCACTACTAGCAAGTAAGATATCATCCACATACAGGACAAGGAAGATAAACTTCCCATTCTTAAACTTTGCATAGACATAATTATCCTCTATATTCTCTTTAAACCCAAAATTACTTATTGTCTGATCAAACTTCAAGTACCACTGTCTTTAAGCTTGTTTTAATCCATAAATATATTTCTTTAGGCGGCATCCCATTCGTTCTTTTCCTTCCATGACAAAACCTTTCGGTTGTGCCATGTAAACATTTTCCTCTAAGTCCCCATTGAGAAATGCCGTCTTTACATCCATCTGATGTAATTCTAAATCGTAATGTGCCACTAATGCCATTATGATTCTGAAGAAATCTTTACATGAGACTGGAGAAAAGGTCTCATTGTAATCAATCCCTTCTCTTTGTGTAAAGCCTTTTGCCACAAGTCACGCTTTATATCTCTCTATATTCCCTTGAGAGTCAAGTTTTGTTTTGTTTTGTAGACCCTTTTATAGCCTACTGTTTTGGTTTCTTTAGGAATTATTTCCAAGTCCCAAACTATATTGGCATTTATTGATTTCATTTCATCTTCCATGGCCTCAAGCCACTTTGATGAATGATTACTTTTCATGGCTTATTCAAATGAGGTGGGATCATCCTCCATTTGAAATTCCTCAGTGTTGTATACTTCATAGTCAACAGGAATAGCTGATTTTCTAACTCTTTGAGATCTTCTAGGGGCCTCAACATTTGGTACATCTTATGTTTGAGGCTGTTGTTGCTCCCCTCATGTGTGGCAATAGGTTCTACAGGATCCTAAAGAACAGGTTCCTCATCGTCATTCATTGTTGCCACAGGCAGAATAACAACAGGTGCTGGCACCACAGTATCTTGCACTGTTGGTGCAGCGACAACAGGTAGTGAGAAAAATGGCTCATGAATCATCGGAGTAGGCGCATACACCCGCTTCTGTTCAAGGTCAATTTCTCGAGCTACCATGCTCCCTCTCATCATTTCATCCTCTAGGAAAACAACGTGTCTCGTTTCCACAAACTTTGTATGTCTGTCCGGACAGTAGAAACGAAAACCTTTTGACTTTTCTGGTTAGCCAATGAAATGGCAACTTACTGTTTTGGGATCTAGCTTCCTAATGTTTGGGTTAAATACTTTAGTCTCAGTAGGACTCTCCCCCACACGTAAGTGGTTTAGTGAGGGTACTCTTCGTGTCCACAACTCATACGGTGTTTTGGGCACCGACTTACTTGGTACTCTATTGAGAATATGAATGGCGGTTTTTAACGCCTTCATCCACAGGCTCAACGGTAAGGTGGAGTAACTTATCATACTACGCACCATATCCATCAGGGTACGATTGCGTCTTTTAGCTACTCCATTTTGCTGAGGTTCGCCCGATGTAGAATACTGGGCTACTATGCCATTCTCCTGTAAGAACCTTGCAAAAAGTCCAGGAACTTGGCCATATGGGGTATGTCGACCATAGTACTCCCCCCCACGGTTGGACCTGACTATCTTAGTCTTTAAATTGTGTTGGTTTTCAATTTTTGCCTTAAATATCTTAAATTTATCCAATGCTTCTGTTCTTTCTTTGATTGGATAAATGTAACCATAATGGGAGTAATCATTTGTGAATGTTATGAACGAATCATAACCATCTACACTCTTTACAGGAAACAGACCACAGATGTCTGTGTGAATAATTTGTAAAATTTCCGCGCTTCGTTTGGCATCTTTCTTAATTTTCTTTACATACTTTCCTTTTATGCATTTTCTGCATTGTTCTAAATCTGAGAACTCTAATGGAGAAAGAATATCATTCTTAACTAGTCTTTCTATTTCCCCCCTCGAAATATGGCATAAACGACAGTGCTATAATTTCGACGACGCATCGTGAGCTCTTTTTCATTTTCTATTTACATCCATAGACGAGGATACATTCTCATTGTCGCACGCAACGTTCCCATCATCGCATACAACATTCACATCATCACGTAGTAATAACAAATAGTATGTGCTCTCTTATGCCACCATTTTCAGAGTACCTCTCTGTCACCAGCTGCTTTATCAGCTGGATAGCATATGTCTTTGAAGAGTCAGTGAACTGACTCTTTACTCTATCGAGGTACTCGGTGACCATGTCACGCTCTGGGATTGAGCCCACAATTGCAGGCTCAATCGTGTTCTTTATCATAGCCAAACATTTTTTGTTGGCAGTGGCCCACTTCCTATGCTCAATGTCATAGGACATCTTTTGGGATTTAAAATCCCTCTCTTTAGTTGCCCAAGCAGCATTAGCCTCGTTTGTCTCTCTCACCGGTGCCACAGGCTCAGTGGGACACGGTGAGGTGACTGCCCAGTCCACCTCAGCCAAGATGAAGGTCAGGTCAATCTTTTTTTTCTTCCACTCCGTGTAGTTGTCACCTTTGAGAGTGGGGATCTCTTTGATACAACCCATCAAGTTGTATCCGCCTGACAACACAATTCATATAGAGTGAGAACATAAATAATAACAACAATTGCATGCCTTGATTCCAACGTTGGTCAAAATTAAAACATACAACTATTCTTATACACTAATTCTACATCACCGTTGGGCAGAAATAGAATTAATGCATAAAATCATTAAAATTACGATATTGTTATTAACAACGTTGGTCATAAAATAACAACATCATAATCATGTCAAAATCTCTTTTTCTCCAATTAAATATCACGTTGGTTGATTACGATATTGTTATTAACAACGTTGGTCAGAAAATAACAACATCATAATCATGTCATAATATCTTTTCTCCAATTAAATATCACGTTGGTTGATTACGATATTGTTATTAACAACGTTGGTCGGAAAATAACAACATCATAATCATGTCATTATCTCTTTTTCTCCAATTAAATATCACGTTGGTTCAAAATAACTAGAGAATAAATAATTTCTTTAGTAGCAGAAAACGTATACTCAATTTCTTGAATTTTACCCACTGGGAAAAATTACTTTTTCTATTTTCTTTGAGCTATTTTTCATTTTTAGAAATAAGCAATTACTGGAAAATAAAAAAGAAAAAAAAGCGATCTTGGGCGGAACTCCATACGAGTGGCCCGGCCTAGCTCGCTTTTTTTCACTCACAGTGCAGCGTCTACCGACCTGTGTGACCAGCCATAACTTGGGCTGGGTAAAGCAAAGCAACCGGCGCACTTTCGCCCACCCTGGGCGAAAGTCGGCCCGGCCGTTCGCAGCCGCTCGATCAAGATCGACGGTCGTCCGCGCGTCTCGGGAGATCAAAAGCACACCGCGGCCGGTGCCCCAAAACCCTAATTCCATTTCGCATTCTCTGCTTCTCTCTCTTCGCTCTCTTCGCCACTCTGCTCTTCCCTCTCAGCGCAGCCACAACGAGCGACCGAGAGCGAGACGCGACGCGGGGATGGCGACTCCGTCGTGGCACCCCTCGCCGGCGCACGCGTGCGACCGGAGCCACGCGCGGCACCACGGTGGTGCCCTTTGGCCCGAGCCCGAGGTGGCGGAGATCGTGCGGCGGCGCTTCTCCTGCCCCGACGGCTGAGGTTGTCTTCCCGCGCGGTGTCCACGCGACTGCCGGCGGTGGAGACAGAGCGGGCAGACCCCAAGTAGGAGCCCCTGCCCCTTTGTCCGTTCACTCTCTTCCCCTTTCTCATCACGAGTTAGGGTTTTGTTAGGTAAGCCGCCTTGCTAGCTCTTCCCCTTTCCCCTTCTTTTCTTTTGGATCTTCTTTCTTTTCTTCTCGGAGCTTTGCCGATTGGGGATTAGGGTTAGGGTTGCGTACTGTTCTTCTTCCCCGAGCTGTTTTGCGGGTTAGGGTTAGGGTTTGACTCACTGGAGTCACTATTCATCTTCCCCAGCGAGTTCTTCATGGGTTTGAGCTCGGATTCGGGTTCTTCTTGAAGCCGAATCCTTCTTCTTCTTACTCCTTTCCTTCACCCTGTTAGGGTTGGGGTTCGGCGACCCTCTTTTAGATCCGAAAACCGAATCTCTCACCTCGGCTTTGTTCTTTTCTTGCCGCACGCCGGCGAAGACGGCGGTGCGGCATCTTTCCCCGCTCGGTGGCGGTGGTGACCGGGAGTTGAGTGACGTCCGCCACCCCCCGGTCTCTTTTCATTTTCTTTTACCCGGTTAGGGTTAGGGTTTCAATCCGAACCGGATCGAACCCACTATTACTCTTCGATTTCTTTTCAATTCTCTACCCAATACTAGATCTACACACTGGCAACCTTGGCTCTGATACCATTGTTAGAAAGTTCTAAACTCTAGGTGTAGATCTAGCGGGTAAAGAACATCTATTGGTGTACCTTGATAGCTAGTGCGCCACAGCGACCGGAGATGAAGTGCAGTCGCAGTCCCTACGGCGACGCGAGGTACAGCGTCCCGGTGGTGGCACGACAGAGGCGACGGCGGAGTCGGTGGGGCTTTCCCGTCGCTGGTAGCACCCTTCTTTAGATAGGATTAGTGTTTCTCTGTAGGTGGTTATGGCGGTTCAGGTCAACCTCGTCGTTAGAGCCCTGTCTTCCCACCTCTCTAGTGCTGTGCGACAGGGGTCCACCAATCATATTAGGGTTGGGCGTCTCCAGTCAGGACGTAGATCCAAGGGTCCAGGTGGAGATCAACTAACATGACGACGTGTCTTTTAGCTCACTTTACAACACGACGAAATACTACACCAACAGAAGTGCCACAGACAGGGCAGAGTACCAAGGCTATGCTGTGGTTATGGAGACTGACGCATTCTGGTTCAAAACAACATATCTAAACACAACAGCCTCTCTGGATGAGCATGAGAACCACCGTGTCCCGGCCATCTTGAGCTGGGAAGTGGGCAACGTGACTTGCGATGTCGTGACGAAGAAAAACAATTCATATGCTTGCCTCAGCACTAACAGCATGTGCGTTAATTCCAGCAGTGGATCAGGCTACCTTTGCAACTGCAAGGAAGGATATCAGGGTAATCCTTACCTTCCAGATGGATGCCAAGGTCGGTGTTGCAAGTATGGCAATGTTCGCTTGTCTTATAATCCGTACTTTTCGGTTTGTCTTTTTAGTCGGAACAACATTTTTCTCTCACAATAAATCAGCCGGAACAGTGTTTCAGCTTGTTTTTTCAGCGAAGCGAACCGAGGCCTATACCTTTTGATTCATGCATACAAGCACAGCAAACAATTTCACAAAAGAATATATTTAAGCAAAATCTCTGAGGCTTGAGCTCTAAGTATCGTATTATTTATGCAGATATTGATGAGTGTGCTGACAAACAACCTCCATGCGCTGGCTGCAAGAACACACCTGGAAGTTTCTCTTGTCCAGACACGAGATCCTTGAAAGTTGTGGCACTAGCTGTCGGTAAACACGCTTTCTCTTCTATCTTTGAGAAAAATGTGTTTTCACATCTTAAACCATTATCAATTAGAGACTTATTTCAGAGCCCAACATTAATCCTCATAAGACACACTAGGAAAAAAATGGAAAAGTTATAGAAGCATGAGCATAGTAGTGTCAATTGGATAGACTCAAATCATCATGGACAATAATAGCTACTGGATCTATTTTGTTTTTAAAAATACCAACCTCTGTCATTATAAAAGATAGTCCCTAGCTCTAAATTTTTATCTAAATTTCTCACCTCTACCATTATAAAAAACACCTAAAGCTAAGTAATCCAATAAGCTTTCATCTAAATTACCCATATATGTCATTACTAAATCTGATCTAAGGTACCCCTAAATTTGTATCTAAACTAGTAATCCCCAAAATTTTCATCCAAATTACCTATAAAAGTACTCTATAATCTATATATGCTTTAGAATGCCAACTTATGCCATTGTTAAATAAAATCTATCACCACCGTATAAAGCAAAATGTACATGTACGAGTATGTGTTAGAATATGAACAAATGAGAAACCAAAGATAAACAACTTTGATTAGATAAGGACCCTAGACTTATCTGTGATCTTGTTTTTTGAAGAATTGTTTTTATTTTTAACACTTTTTGTAAACTAATTTTAAATCTAACACTGTTTTATTTTTTTCTTTCAAAACTAACATTTTTGGCCGCGCTTATTGCCATGGCGGGGCGAAACGCCTGTGCCGCGCCATGCATGGTGGCGCGGCGGGAGGATGACGTGGCGACGACCGGGGCGCTGATCGATGACGTGGCAGGGTCTGCCGCGCCATAGACCATGGCGCGGCACAGACGCACCAAGGCCCATGGCGCGGCAGGACCTGGATGCAGACAGAAGACCAGCCTCAATTGCAATTGCTGCTGTCGGTGAGGATCGGCAGCAACGCGACCATGGACCCCGGCTTCGCGTCGCAGCTGAACGACACCTGCAGCTCCGACCCCAACGCCTTCGCCTTCCTCGACCCCTCGCCGGTGGGCTTCGACAACGCCTTCTATCGGAACCTGCAGGTCGGCAAGGGCCTCCTGGGCTCCGACCAGGTGCTCTACTCCGACATGAGGTCGCGGCATGGTCGACTACTAAGCGTCCAACTAGGGTGCCTTCTTCTACGATTTTGTGATGGCGATGACCAAGCTCGGGAGGATCGTTGTCAAGACGCCGACCACCTGCGGCGAGATACGCCGGGACTGCCGGTTCCTGAACTAGTTGCTAGTTAATCTCGACAGCAGTGCTGCCGCGACGCATTGAAACGAATATGAAGCAAATAAATGGAATATGTGCGCAAGTTGACAAGTTGCCACATAATATTTTCATTGGTTCATAAGTCTGCAAGTTTCGGACGACAATATTCGTTCGACATAAGTTCGACATAACCAACTAAATCTCAGGAGTGCAAGGATCCCTCGGACGCCTCTGTCTCTTCGGATTTGTAGGCAACACATTGGGAGTGTAGCCAACGTTGGTGTGGTTGCGTTGCCGATGCGTACGACTCGTACCGCTGCAAGTATATAATATGCACGATTACTTATAATCTTTATGATCATTAGTTCATGGAGCCTACGTATTTAAAGAAACTACCTTTGTTACTACCTGTGAGGCTCCTTGGGTACCAAGCGGGGCATCACCTAGCTGAGACATACCGATCTCATCCTGCTGCCAATCGTCCCACTAGTGGTGCCGTATGCGGAAGCCCGGGGGGTCATCGTCATCGTCGTCCTCATTTGTAGGGTCCTTCCCAGCGCTATGATGTGGTGGTGTACGCACTGCGGAAGCGGCACCTGTCACCGGATGAGAAGAGTCGGCTGATGTCCTCAAAGAGCCAGAAGACGTGCCACCTGACCGTGCCGGGTAATCGGGTTCCACCCAAGGAGTATCCATGTAGCTCAACTTCTGAGCTAGCTTCCTGCAGCTCCGCTTCACCTTCTGCATAAATAGACGTTAAAGTCAGTGCATTTCCCAAACGCATATACACTAAAGAAACATTTTTGGAATGGACAAGTTTATGTTTACCTCCACAAAAGCCTCGAGAACATCTGGCCCATGCCCTCTAGACTCGTGAAGCCAAAACGCTGCTTCGTTGCATAGCCTTGATAATTGTGTCACTGGGTATAGAAACGCAGTTGGACAGTTTTAGTATAGATACTTAATACCAAATGGATAACAAATTGTACCATTCGAGTATCTTACCACGTATCTTTGAAGCGGGGCTCTCTGTAGTTGTGTGTCGCCCCTAGTGGCAACGTTGTACACATCTTTGATCACATCTTCCTTGTCGTCCTCGTCAATCGCCTCCTCAGTGTATGGGGGCTTGATATGTGTCCTCGTAGACCTATGAAGCCACCGTAGGTACTCGTCGAAGGTGTGCTAGTCGTGTGGGGGACCCGCATCGACCGGCTACCGGTCCCTGTTCTGCCACAACTAGATGTACGCATTGTGTGGCATGCACCAATCCTTGGTCTTGTACCTCTTCCTGCGGTCATACCTGCAACAAAACAATTGTTAGTTGTACCATACACACCTCTGAATTGTAGCTTTGTTATTAATCCATAACGCACCCGTGCAATTCTTGGTTGGTGGAGTAAAGCGGTGGTGGGTAGCCTATCATTCTTTCAAACTGCCTGCAAAGCCTGATGGGCAAGTGAATCTCGACCACATGGAAGAAAATAAGAGGGACGTTGCAGCGATACTCGTCTGACTCATCCCTAGTGACAGGACTCAGAGAGTACTAGAGCTCCGGAGCATCCCAAGGACACCAATGCACCTGAACATTTCGTAATTGAGTTAGGTTGTGATATAGTGTACATCGAATAAGACACATGTATGATAGTAAAGAGAGCGTAACCTGGTGCTGTGTCAGGACGTCGAGACAGTCCGTGTACTCCCTGTACTTGCGCCTCGCATTCCCTCTAACTAACTCTGCTTGCGTCCAGATATACAGAGCTATAGGGAGTGTATCCTGCCCATTCCAATGCTGTATTGAACATGATAATGAATTAGCCATTAATAATTTCATCATATGTAACTGTCTCGAAGAATATAGTCAACCGAAGTACTTACCGGTAAACCAGTAACAAGGGGCCTCCCAACAGGCCATCGTTCCCAACACCAAACCTGGAGTAGGTAGGAGCAACCCCCAAGGTTCGCATACGCTAAGGTGCGACGGTAGGCAACGCATAGCTGTCGATACGTCCATGCCAGGACTACGCTGCCCCAGCTGTACGCCGCTATGTTATCCCACGGCTGGCGTAGTATGTTAAGAAAGATCCAGTTGATGGTGTTGCCTGAGACGTCTGGGAATAGGAAAGCACCAAGGAAGTGCCAGAGCCACACTCTAGCGAACCTGTCAATCTGAGCCTCATCAGCCTGTGGGTACAAGTAATCAAAGCGCTCTGTGATCCACGATGATGAAACACCAGAACTTTTCCTAAAATTCACCAAAGAAAATGAGACCCGATGGCTGCAGGAAAGCAATGCAAATATTAAATAGGCTTGAATTGCTCACTTATTTTTCTTGAAAACCTCGTCGTCCGGTGGAAGAAAGCCTGTGAACTGAGCCACCAGCTCCCTCCAGTGATCGTTGTCAACTATACCTGTCACTGAAAATCCCCCCAACCAAAGGCCAAAGATAGACTTCACGTCCTGCATGGTCAAGGTTATCTCGCCGCAAGGTAGGTGGAACGTGTGGGTCTCAGGCCTCCACCTGTTATAAGAATAGAATGACTGTTAGTTGCCTCAAATTTGTTATAAGAATGTTTACGTACAATGAAGGCACTCGCACCTGTCTACAGCTGCAGTAAGTAGTGCTGGGTCAAGGGGCGGAAGACCGTAGTTGACAACACGGACAAGCTCGAGGAAGCCAGCACGCTGTATGTACGGCACGTAACGCTCGTCCCACTAGTACGCCCTGGTGTGCGTGCGGGGCCTCAAAGGAGGCAAGAGCACCACTGCGTCGGTGTCAGTCAAGAAGTGTGCTCGGTGCGGCTCGTCGTACTCCACCTCAAGAAGGGGGTACAACTGGTGCTGCGTGGGAGGGGCCATCCTGTTACAAATTGATAAACAAAGGGTTAGAGTATTCAAATTAACAATATTCAAATTAACATTATGTAGCATTGCAAAATTTGAACTACTTGTTATGCAATACGAACACAATATGAAAGCACATGTATATATTCAAAGTAACATTAACAGACATATTAAACAACTTCACTAGAAAAATAAACAACTTCTATGTATGGACATGTTGCCCTCGTCTTCTATGCCTTCTAGCCTTGTGACCAGGTTCTTTGCAAGTGGAGCAAAGATTCCTGCCATGAGTCTCGTTGAAGTCTCTCCCTCTGTACATGTCTTCGTTGTATCCTCTCATAGCGTAACAGTAACCTAAACCCTAACTAACAGTAACCCAAAAGTGAACAACCGAGAGTCCTAACTAACAGTAACCTAAAACTTAACTACCTAACCAAAACTTAACTATACTACAACACACAACCTAAACCGTAAAAACTACCTACCTAAATAAACAAATTCACTAACCTAACTATACTAAATCAGTAACCCTAACTATCCTAAATCACTAACCCTAACTAAAATAGCATTCATAATAACAAGAAATCGAGAGAGGGAGCTACCTTGATATGAGTGGGGACCTTTTGGGGTCACCCAAGTCGAAGGAGATGGCCGCTGGCGCCTCAACACCGGGCGTAGGCGGGGTGGTGGGCAGGCGAGGCGGCAATGCTGATAGGCGGTCGGGCGGCGGTTGGTCGGTCGGCGGCGGCGGCGGCTCGGCTGGCTGCAGGCGGGCGAGGGCTTGGCGCAGCGGCGGCGGCGTGGGGTGGGGTCGAGGGCGAGGGCGGGTGCAGTGGGGGCGTCGCTGGCTTTTTATTGGGCTTGCTTGCCGCGCCACCAGTATTTGGCGGCGTCGTCACCGCCAGCTTAAGATGGGTGTG